GTGGAGGGCCTGGGGCGCGCTCAGCTCCGGGCTCAGGCCGCCCCCCGCTAGCGCCCTTGCAGTATTTAGGTGTGCGTTTCCCCCGCGGCCCGGGGACTTTAACTCGTTCCCAGCCGCAGCCCGGAATGTCGTAGGTGTTCAGTATTTGCTGCAGGAATGAGCCAGGGCGACGTCTCTCAGGTTTGCGGTGCGTCGGGCGCTCTGCTTATCTCTCCTGGCCTCATGTCAGAAAGAAAGGGTGGGATGGAGGTACGGGAACGTTCCAGCGGGTGGGGGCTGGCGGGGCCTGGACGCGCGGACTTTGCGGGACGATGGTGGAGCCTTTGGAGTCTGTCCCTCCGCGCCCCGAGTTCCGGGCCTGGCCGAGTAAATGGGTCCCTGCCCGGGAGATCTCGCGCTCCGGTGCCGATCGATCGAGTGTTGCATGCTTTCAAGGTACCAGCAGCGGCCTCTTCCTGGGTCCCGTTCAGAGCGGGACTCCCTAGGGCTGCTGCTCTCCTGTCTCCACTTCCTCTCCTACTAGCATTTTCTTTTTCAAAGTGAACGTGCCTATTGTATATTGCATATAGACACCTACAGAAAAGTGCACAAATCACAAGTACACAGCCCAACCAGTTTAACAAAGTGATCACCCCGTGTGACTGTGATGAACTGAACAACACAGCCCTCAGGAGACCCCCCAACCGCGCCCCCTTCCAGCCCCTCATCCGCCCAGGTCCCCAAGGGGAAGGCATTCCTGCTTTCTGTCAGAGCGGATTGCTTGGCCTTTTTGGAACCTCACAGGGATGGAATCACAGCACTGTGTTTTTTCCTGTCCTTTGCTCACGACTGTGTCTGAGAGTCCCCCGTGTGGCCTCAGCAGCAGCTCATCCTTTGCAGAGCTGCTTAGTGTTCCATGAATGTATTTACCAGAATTGACTTGTTCTACAATTGAAGGGCATCTGGGTGCCTCTGTGTTTTGGCCCATTATGAGCACATGGCTCTGGGCGTTTTTCCGGGACTTGTCTTCCAGCACCTGTATCTGTAGGTGTCAGTTGGGTGTGTACCTCGGGGCAGTGTTGCCACCAGTTCTCTCTCGTCCATCCAGTCAGTCTCTTGCCCCCAACACTCTCACAGAAGAGCTCTGTCAAGTCCCCAGTGGCCCTTATGATGCCAAATGCCGTGGTCCATCCTCCTCTGAATTGATCTCTCTGCAACATTTGTCACAACCGACAGCTGACCCCTTGAGGCCCTTTCCCACTTGGCTTGTAGGACACCTCTCAGCCTCTACCTTTGTCACAGTGTCCCTTCTCAGTCTCCTTGGTTGGAGATGTTGGAGCACTTTGGGGCAAGAGCCATGCCCCTGTCTCGTCCATGTCCACACTCAATCCCCAGGGCACCTATCTCACCCAGGCTTATGGCCCTGCCACCCTTTATGTGGGGACGGCCCCACCGTGACATCTCCAGACACACATGTCCAGCTGCTGCTCAACTCCAGCACTTGGAGGTCTAAAAGACACCTCAGATTCTACGTCTAACATGTAAAACCAAACTTCCAACCCTCCAAAGCTGCCCCTCACACTCCCCCGTAGTCTTAGTATGTGAAACTCCCTCCTTTCTCTGCTTCACAGCCCATTTTCAGAATGCGTCCCAGATCTGCCTGCTCATTATCCCCTCCTGCTGGTGCCCTGATCCCAGCCCCCAGGTGCCCTCCTATGGTAGCCAGGGTGGACTCCACTTGTCAACCTCTGCCCGAGCCTCCAGGAATTCCCCTCCTGCCCTGCCCGAGGCCTGCGTCCTTCTCTTGCTGTCTCAGCCAACCCTGCCTCTGACCGCTCAGTTGTCCCCCCTCAGGTGGTCTTCCTGACCATTTCCTTCTCTGCATTCCTACACAGCCCATGGCTGTGTGGTGTCCCATCTGTCCTCCCCATTCTAGAATGTAGGCTCCACGAGGGCAGGCTGTCTGATTCACTCCCACTCCCCCAGCCCCAGGAGCAGGCTCAGCACAGAGCAGGCCCTGGAGGGACGGACTAGAAACAGCTCTCCTGGGCTCTTTGGCCACATTCTTGTCCCAAGTTTCCTACTGAGGGTGCCGTAAACAGCCAAGACAGAGGCTTCCCGAAGCACATGTGGTTTAACAGGATGAGGCCTCTGACTTTTCCAGGCTGTTCAGTAAAACACGGTGTGGGGAACCCTGCCGGGCCCCAGCCGGCTTTGCCAGCCCCTCACCCCTCCATGCTTTGCCGCTCAGGTTCCCGTTCAGCCGGCCCGAGCTGCTGAAGGAATGGGTGCTGAACATCGGCCGGGGCAACTTCGAGCCCAAGCAGCACACAGTCATCTGCTCCGAGCACTTCCGACCCGAGTGCTTCAGCGCCTTTGGGAACCGCAAGAACCTGAAGCACAACGCGGTGCCCACGGTGTTCGCCTTCCAGGGCCCCCCGCAGGTGCGCTCAGCTGCGGGGCCCCAGGCTGGGTGCGGGTGTGGGTGTCATGTGTGGGGACAGCAAAGGCCGAGAACTACCAACCTGTGGCACTGTCGGGCCTCTGGCTTCAGAGCCCAGCCGGCCTAGCTGGCCATGACCTTCACTTAGGGAACTTGCAGTTTAAAGCTGCTTTAAAAATAAATCACATTGCACAATGATGCTATAGAAGCAGCCTCCTGGTGAGCATGCCAGGAGCTTGGTCCTCTCTGCATCTCACTTTTGGGGCCACTCGAGGGCAAAGCACCTTCTCCGCGGTGTTGCATTCAGACCTTGTCCTCCTCTTGCTTGTAGTAGCCGGCGCCCATGGGGAGCACATGGCCAGGAAGCCAGAGGCTGTGCCACTGCCACCCGGCAGGTCTCCATTAAGTCCCACCAAGTGCTATACTGCCCGGGGCACAGAAGGACCGTGTGCAGGTGGAGCCCTGGAGGGAGACCAGGGACAGTGTGGCAGAGGCTCGGAGGTGGAGAGGATTTGGGCGACTCAGGAGCAGCCTCAGTTCAGGCTGGTGGGAGGGCGCAGGGCCCAGATGGTGACAGGCTCGGACAGGTAGTGGGTTTTGGGGTGAGGCCACTGGGGAGGGACTTGGCTTTGGAAGACTCCCGTGGGCTGGAAGCTGGTTTGGACGCCTGTGTTGTGTTGTTGCAGGTGAGGGCAGTCATGGTGGCCTGAGCGGAAGTAGGGCATGGTGATGAGAGGGGGACGGAGCCGATGGACTTTGCAGACCCTGAGTTACAGGGTGTGGGGAAGGACAGGTGGCTGTTTGTGAGCAAACACGCTCAGAGCATCCTGGGTCGGGGGCCGGCCCTTGACCTTCCCTTTGCTTGACCTCTCGGCCTCACCCTCCCAGGCTCCCTGTGCCTGTACGAGGCCCCTACTCTGCCCTTCTCTGTCCTGCTCCTCTGTCTTCCTGGCACCAGCGAGCATCTTCTGTCCCCATGGAGCCTCTACGAGGGCCTTGCTTGGCTCCCCTGCTTTATTCCCAACACCCGGAATGGTGCACAGAGTAGCTGCGTGATGCAAGAGTTTTTTTTTTTTCATTTAAACATGGAAGTCCTTTTATTATACACACA